TAAAACCTTCCTATTCCTGTCTTGAAAACAGTTTTTTAATATTTTTACACTTTTAACACAACTATTTACAAAGATCTTGATTTTTTTAACTTTACATTTTTTTAGATATTGATTTTTATCTTTCTTTTTTATTAAGAATGTAGACATTTTATATTGAAAATCTCTGGTTTTAAACCGTAACTCTTCGAAAACTTATGTTTATAAACTTGAAACAACTCCGTTTTCAATTTTTATTCAAAGATTCTGATTTAAATTTTTTCGCCATGCTGGCTTTGAATCTTAATTTTTTTTCTAAATGTCTTCATTACCTGAAGTCTTTGGAGAAGAGTGCATAAATGAGCGGATTAATCGCACTGTTGCAATACCCCAGCCAGAAGAGTATCGAAAACAGCAACGGCGGGATACAATCCGGGCAAAAAGCCCTCACTAAATACATGGTGAAAAAGGGAAGCCAACAGAAGATAAATCCCCCAACGATAATCGCGAGTGTTTTCGCGGCTTTGGTCTCCATCCGAAACCTCTTCACTTGCGCTTTGATATTCCTCTTGCCCATCCTCCTCGACATGACCTTCCTCCCCTCCTCGCAGGCACTAGGACTAGGACTCGGCGCTCTCTCGCAGCTACTCGACCTCCTCGACGCCCTCCTCCTCGAGCTCAGTCTCTGCACTCTCAACTGGTTCTCCCGTTTGTACAACGCCGACGTGGTGGTGGTGTTGTCTTTCCCGTTGACGGAGTAATGAACGGCGAATTGTGTGGGGGACACAGGGGCGGCGAGCAGATTGGGGTTGGGGGAGAGGTTCTCGCTGGAGGGATAACTGACGCTGATTTTGACGCGTTCGTGTCTGCCGCGAGTGGAGGGACTGGGACTGACGCTGCTTGTGGTGGTGCTGTTGCTGCCGTTGCTGTGGGGCGAGCCGTGAGGATGGTGCTTGTCGGAGGAGCCGCGGCCGCGATGGATGCGCAATGTGAGGCGTTGCTCGTCGAAGCGGTTGCCGAAGCCGCGGGAACCTGCAAACGGGGAATGGGATTAGCGAAGGAAATCGATCAACTATTATACAGGCTGCGCCAGAATTCGCGACCCAAGAAAAATGACATATAAGGTAAGAAACCAGGAACATGGAAAAAATGTTAAAAAAAAATTATCTATAAAAATTTTGAAGTTATGAAGGTTTAAAGTTTTTACTATAGGCTATTAGGAAACAAGGAAGCTGTATCTTAAATTGTAATTCTGTTCAATGTTATATGTGGCTTTTATTAGCAAAATTTTTGTGCCTTTACTAAATAATTGTAAAAAAACATATACAAGATCATCAGTATCATTAAATATAAAAAAATGTCATGTTCTTGGTATCTTACCTTACTTGAAAATTTTCTCTGGGGCGCGAGTTCTGGCGCACCCTGAATACTACTCCAAAAAATTAAAGAAACAAATTTTTTTTAGTGATTTTTGAAAGGCTGTAACCCATCAAAAAATGGTCGTATCTAGATTTAAAAAAAAACAGTTTGAACATTTAAGTTTCTAGTTTTTCATATTTTTGGCAAATATTTTTTGTGCTACGGTTATCACGCAATTCTAAGTAATAGCGCGAGAAAACAAAATCTAAATTTTTATGTTTTTTTTTGGTCCACAGACGTGGAGACTTTTTTTTGTTAAATCAATGTATAGGCCGGATAGCATGTTTGTTTACCTTTAATATGCGTTTTTCATATTCTCTCTCACAGAGAATATAGAGGTAGTGTCAAAAACTAGAATAAACGTCTTATAAAATCCTCTTATGATTTTTTTTATGAATCTTCGTCAAGATTAGAAACACATTTTTTTAGCTTTCTTTTACAATTTTGCTTTAGTTAAATTTGAAAAAAAAAATCAAAAAAATATATTTATTTTTTTTTCAAAAATTAATCAGTATTGTTTCTTGAATTTTTTACGAATAAATAAAAATCTAAAACATTTTTGTGAATTTTTTTCAAAAATGAAGCACTATTTTTTCTTAAATGTTTTTATAGATTTTCAAAAAAAACAAAAAACCATTTTTGTTTATTTTTTTTATTATTAGCAAATAACGCAAAATTGTAAAGTCAAAAAAATGTTTTTTTCATTTTGATGAATGTTGAGAAACAATATTTGCTATTATTCCTTTAATTCTTTTGCAAAACTTTGATCAATCAGTTTGATGGATCGATTTAAAAATTAGCAGAGCTGTAGGGGAGAATTTAAGCTGTAAACACACCTAAAAAACATTAGTTTCCCATCAATATTAGTAAATACGCGGTAGATTACTTTTTTCTCTTTTTTTAAATCAACGTTAACGGTGAAAAAAAATATTTTACAAAAAATCATAAGAGGATCTTATAAGACATTTATTCCAGTTTTTGACACTACCCTTATATTCTCTGTGTGGTCATTGGTTGCTGAGATATCGATGATCAAAGACAAGAGGATCCTTTTTCATTTAAAGTCAGATATCTCAGGCACAAATTAACGTAAAAAGAATATGAAAAAAGCATATTAAAGGTGCTAAAAAAAATCTCTACGTCCGTGGGCCAAAAACAAAAACATAAAAATTAGGTTTTTTTCTCGCGTTATTACTTAGAATTGCGTGATAACCGTAGCACAGAAAAAATATTTGCCAAAGATTTCAAAACTAGAAGCTTAAGATTTCAAAATGTTTTTTTTAATATGACATGACCATTTTTCAATGAGTTTCAATGAGCCTCAATGTGAGACGTTGCTCGTCGCAGCAGTTGCCGAAACCGCGGGAACCTGCAAAGGAATCGATCAACTAGTTTTTGAAGAAAGAGTGAGAGGTATTGACCTCCACATGGGAAAAAGACAGACAGTTGTAGCTGAAACACTAAAACACTCAGTTGCGTTTTTATCTTGTTTTGTGAATTTTACGTAAATAAACAAAGTTATTTTGATCTATTTATTGTTTTTTTTTTATACGACGAACAATCTCTTGCTTTTAATTTTGATCTTGAATTTAAATTCAGTAAACAAGCACTCGTTGTCAGTAAAAGAAATAAGTGTTGTGATTTTGATTATTATTTTTTTTTATAATTATCTTTTATCTTGATTATTTTCAAACTATGGTAAATTGAGATTTAAAAACCGTCATTCAAAAGTGTAGTTTTACTACGATATTTTTTTATAAAATTTTGTTTTTTAAATATTTCAAATTTTGTTCTTCTCTTCTTTATTTCTCAAGATTTTAACATTCCTCAAGCTATTCACCATTTTTCAAGTTTCAAAAATATGCGTTCACCTCACATTTTGAGACTTTGTTTTCTTACACACCAAAGAAATCTAATATTACAAAATTTTAACAGTTATCACCGTCACTCAATATTTGAATGAAATTCTTTTTTTTTCAGTTTATGCTGTGAAATTGACTATTTTCAAAATCTCCATTTTAGCAATTAGAAGATTTTTTCTAAATTTTACTTTTCAAATTTATAATTCACGTTGGAGTTTCTACTCTATTTTTTGGGGTTCTCTCTAATAAACTGTTGAAATTTTTATTTAAAATCATGTTTTACGAGATATTTATTTTCGTGTCCAAAATTCTAATATTCTAAATGTCTAAATGTTTCTTAAGTTTTGCATCACTTTTCAAGATCTTGAACATATAGTTAAAGATTTTTTATTCGCACTTTTAAAGATTCTACATTCTGTAAGTTTTGAAGAAAAAAATATGTTTGTCTCAAAATCTTTATTCTCTTCTTAAGATCTTTATTGTTTTTAAAATTTTAAACACTTTCCCAAACTCTTTTCTTTAAAGATTTTTATTTTCTCTTAAAAATACAAAATTTTTACATCATTTCTAAAAGTATTGAACTCTAAAATTCTGTTTTTGTGTCAATACATGTCTTGAATCGCTTTCTCAAGATTTTTAGTTTTTTAAAACCACAAATTAGATCTTTTCAAGAGTTGAGAATTTTAGTTTTGAAATTTTCAATATCTTCCCAAATATTTTTAATCCAGTTTTTATCACTTTTCAAAATCTTAAACAAAGGATTTTTTATTCGCCTTTTTAGAGATTCTGTCTATACTCCGTAAGTTTAGAAAAAAATATGTTTGTCTCAAAATCTTTAATCTCTTCTTAAAATCTTTATTATTCTTAAAAACATAAAAATCAATTTTCTCAAGAATTAAAACATCGTTTCCCAAATCTCAAATTCCTGACTGCTTTAAAATCTTAATTTTTTTTATCAAAATTTTTATTTTTTCCTAAATTTAACCGATTTTAACATTTTTTGTTAAAATATTGAGCTTTAAGCTTATATATTTTTATTTCGTTGTTTATTTTTTATTCGTCTTTTAAACTAAAGATTCTATATTCCGTACG